ACCTAGCAACGATACATTATTCGCATTCATAAGCGCTGCAATTGGTTTATTTGCAAGCTAAATCTGCAACGAGAGACTGTCAAACACTAAAAAGTTGTGAAAATGAAGTCACTTCTCTTTCAAATTTTCCCGTTCCACCTTAAATGGTGCCACATTTCATTCGGCGCCTCAGTCAGAATTTGCGGTGGAACGAAAATTCAAACAAGAAGCTGGAGGACCTTCAAAAAGCGCCTTCGCCTCGTAAAACAGCCGAACTTTGAGAGACATTTTACAAGAAACTGATCTACTTTAGAGGAAAAGTGTCCTGGTGGAGATGGAAGGAAAGCGGCTATAGCTAAAGCTTAAAGCAGAGCAAAGTAAACCCACATTTTCGTTTATATTTTTAACCTAGATTAACTTATAGCAGAACATTAACACATACTGAGACATACTGGACATAAATGTTGTGGCTGCCAAGGTGTTTTGATTTTTGTTGAAAGGACAAAATGTCTCTTTTTAACATTTGAGTTGTGACTCCTGACCTAACCTGGCTTTAAATGCAGAGGGAGCTGGTCGGATTTCTCACTCATCCATTTCTGTGTTTTTGTTATGTACACCTCACAGACTGTCCGGGTGCTGCACTTCCGTACTTCCGCCTTTTGCATTCGGTCAACATTACGTTATAAATTAAATATTTAGAAAATCGATTTTTGACATTTCAGAATCGTTCACGTCTGCATCGCGATGCATCTAAGAATCGTTTTTTTCCTGCACCCTAGTCAATATGGTGAGAAAATTTTACTTAAAGCAAACCCTGTTGTTAAGACATATTGGCCCTGATATGGTGTACATGTCCAATAACATTCAAATATTTTGTATAAACCAAGCCAAATACATGGTTTATTATTAAACATAGACAAAATCCTTTTACTAGTAGGTTGCCATTTTTGTTGATGCATCAAATGGTTACATTCTCTCTTATCTAAGGAGTGAGGAATGGCAAACGAAATATGTATCATTCAGCCTTTCTAACTTTAGCTAGAGCGTGACATTACTCAAGAGAAAAACTTTTTTGTCTTATTTTTCCATAAGATGGACTACAACCAGAAGAGTAAAGCAATGTGCTGTAAATTTCAAAGTTCTCCTGCATCTATCACATATGTGGCTGACTTTGAAAAGGTAGTAACAATATTTGCAATTCCATGCTTGCCAATTATATCTGATTTCTGCATGTACAATTTAAATCACAGTTACATAGCCAGAATTATAATAACATGCAGTTTTCATATTTTTTCTCTGTTGAAGATCCCAACACACCTACATCTGGTATTCTATGTTCTACTATCTATGTAATGTGAAAAGTGAAAATAGTGAACTAACTAGGAATTCCCATGGAATGGGACATGCTTTGAATGCTTGTGTACTTGTAAGAGTTCCCAGGATTTGTGAAGGCTGAAAAGAGGAGACAGATTTCCCACTTCTAAAGCTACAGGCAAGATTGTGCTATGCATAGTTCAAAGTGATGGGAAGTAATAAAAAACATGAATTAGAAAAAAGCAGCCTTATCTTTTAACCGTTTCTTATTTTTACCTCTACCCCTTGTTTTTGAGGGTCATCTTGCCCCTTGGAACCGAGATACAAGGGATAGTGGTTCAAATCTTCCCCAACAAAATTAATAATAATAATAAAAAAGAACATTACTTCGTTAACAGGCAAGTAGCAGTGCTCTGCAGGTGACCCTGCCAATCTGCAGTGACAGCAGAGGAGGGTAAAGTTATACTACAAAAAAGCTATCCACTCAGACCAGTACTACACACATTAATACACCACCACCACGTCAGTGTTACTGCAGCGCTGACAATGACCACCACCAAAAATAGTACCTGCTCTGTAAGGGTCCATGGGGGTCCTGACCACTGAAGAACAGGGTAAAAGTGGGCTAACAAAGTATGCAGAGAAACAGATGGACTACAGTCTGTAATTGTAGAACTACAAAGTGCACCTACATAGTAAGTGGAGCTGATAAACTGGACAATGAGTGTAGAAACATAATTCAGAATTCAAAGCATACTTCCAAAAAAACCAAAACATCCAGTGAGTGGAAGTTTTAGTGGGTAGAAACATCTTGTTGATGAGAGAGGTCAGAGGAATATGGTTGACAGGAAAAGGGCTGTAACCTGACCACTCTGTACAGTGGTGATAAAAAAGCATCTCTGAAGCAGAACACATCAAACCTTAAGGGTTCACAGAAACTGTAAAGTTGCCACATGCACCAAATTTATAATGGCTATGTTCAGATCTGAATCCAATAGAGCACCTTTGGGGCGTGGTAAATTGAGAGATTCACAGCATAAATGTGCAACTGACAATTCTGTGATGCAGTCATGTACATACACTCACAGGCAAAATTTGAGATGCCACTGAACTTACATGTTTTGCTGATCCTCTACAGAGAATACACTTCTGCACATTTTAAAGTAAGCAAATAAACTGGAATTGTGCTTTAACATTTGCAGAAAGATGCATGTTTAGGTTTGTTCCCTGAAGAGAATATGATCATTTTCACATAGGAAATCAATCAAGCATGTAATTTGATTGGGAGTGTCTAAACTTTTGTCCCACTCAGTAAGTGACCATAACGAAAACCACTTTATAAATAGAGGTTTAGTGATAAACATATGTACAGCTTATATTATAGGTTTGGTTAAATAGTGGTCTGAATGCAGACCAAGCAAATTATTTAAGCAGAAAAAAAATCTGTACCAAAGCTGATAAATGTCTGTATAAAAACATTTGTACGTCCTTTGTTGCAGTTTATCCAATGTGATGTAAATGATGATGACTAAGCCAAAGACAGCTCATCAGAACAGACATTGGATACAGAGTCAAATATCAGGTCAGAAAGTGGATAATTTCACACAGTTATGACTATATTCAAAATGAGGATTCCTCCTCAGTGTGTTTCTGAATTAATATTTCTGTACATGCCAGCATTAGGTTGATGCCAGTGGTGTCACAAGGCAAGACAAAGCAGCAGCAACACTGGATTTGTGTTGCTGCTGCTTTGTCTTTCCGGATGAGTGTCTACCATGAGGCCTTGGACCCCTGAGTTTAAACTGCTGCACCACCAGTGCTCTCCCTTGATGCACCACACATTGCAGCACCACCTCCAAAGCCTCACCTCTCGCTTTCAAGTCCAGTCACCAGATGCTGCCTACTCTTTGACCCTGGTGGCTGTGCTCTAAAGGGAGGGGACTGTGGAAGTTGGAGGAATCCTTGTTGGAGAGCACTATGTTTTAAATTCTATTTGTGAGTAGCCCTAGCAGGCTGTACTTTCAGTTTAGGTTTTGGTATTGGTTTCATGTTTAAATAAAAACTCACCCACAATTGAACTCGCGTGTGTGTTCTTTGGAGTTCACTTTAGCTTCCCAGCCAGTGTGTCTCTGGCCATCCCCAGGCCAACCCCACATACTCAAGGTGAGTTTGGCATAAAAGAAAGATGGTTGCTTCTGACTCTACTGAAACGACCAATATTTGTGTTATTCTAATAATTCTTCAAAAATAATAGGGGAATGTTTAATAAAATACTTTACTGGCTTGACTTCACATGGTTAAATCCAGAATGTCTGGAGAAATCAATTGAATTTGTTGCTCAAAATTCAAATGGTTGAAGCCATTATTTAATGAGAACAATCACATAGACTAAAGCAGGCCAAACTAAAGTTAGCAAACAAGATGTATTCTGTATTAGCAGTCTGCAGAAAGTGAACAAGGTTATCCTATTGCATGTTTACTCTTGATAAAGGCTATTTGCCACTTGCTTAGTTTAAGGTCAGCTAAAGGGGCCATATGAAATATGTTATGGAGGTAAGTTATATGCCTGTTGTTAAAGTCAAGAATATGTAACAATTTCAATTATGATAAATGTTTTTTTTTTGTATTTTAATTAATGTTAATAAAGAAATGACTGGTTCATTCTATTAATAACTGAAATGTGGCTACACTCACTCATTCCAGATGAAACTATAGAGCTAGTAGGCCACAAAGCACAATGTTGGGACAGAAACAAAGATTCTAGTAAGCGCAAAGGAGGGAGGCTTTGCATTTACATACATAATAACAGGTGTACTAATACTACAATCATAGACAGACACTGTTCTTCTGATCTGGAGTACATAACATTTAAATGCAGACCCTTTTACGGTGAGCTTGAGTTCACCGTATAAAAGCTGTCTATATTCCACCAGATGCTAACGCTAGCATAGCATTCCCTGCTCAGTGCTATTGGTCCACAACAGCGTATCTATCCAGAAGCAGCCCATATCATCACTGGAGATTTTAATCACACAGATTTAAAGGCAGTTCTCCCAAAAATTCACCAACACATCAAATGTTTTACAAAGATCAAGTGGATCAAGGACTTCCTGTCTAACCACACTCAGACTGTTAGACTTGGCCCCTAGCTCTCCACCACCATCACACTCAGTACAGGCGCACCACTGTGCATGTTGAGCCTTCTTCTCTACAGCCTCTACACTCATGACTCTGCCCTCACCCATCCCACCAACACTATAATCAAATTTGCAGATGACACAACAGTGATTGGACTTATTTTTAGAGGAGACAAGACAGCCTATAGAGATGAAGTCCAAGGACTGGCTCTATGGTGTTCAGAGAACAATCTCACCTTGAACCCCTCAAAAATCAAAAAACTCATCATAGACTTCAAAAGGAACTCTACAAAACCTAACCCATTATACATCAACAGCGACTGTGTGGAAAGAGTACATAATTTCAGGTACCTGGGCACACACATTGCTGAAGATCTCTCCTGGACCACCAACACCACAGCATTAATTAAAAAGGCACAGCAGCGACTCTACTTTCTAAGAATCCTCAGGAAAAAATAACCTGTGAGAGAAACTTTTGGTGTCTTACTACCACTGCTCCATTGAAAGCGTGCTTACATATAGCATCTCCACATGGTACACCAGCAGCTCAGCAGTGGACAAGAGAGCCCTTCAGAGAGTCATCAGCACAGCCCAGAAGATCATCAGCTGCTCTCTGCCCTCCTTGAAGGAGGTCTTCAGGTCCCACTGCCTCAGCAGGGCAGCTAACATACTGAAAGACCCATCTCATCCTGGTCATCATATGTTTGACCTTTTACCCTCAGGCAGATGCTACAGGTCCATTACATCATGGACAAACACACTTAAGAACAGCTTCTACCCCAGTGCAGTAAGAGAACTGAACACTGCCCAACGCTGACACTGTACACTGCCATCCAGGCACCAGCAACACAGGAATAGAGTGTCTATCTGCACCTTTCTGAACATGCTCAAGCAATATTAAAAGATGTTTACATTCATTTGCACTTAATATTTATTAATAAACTGCACTGCATCTCTAAATAGAAAACACTTCCATTCACATATGTGCAATACCCTCATGTGTAATGTCCATAGCTGTTACATTCTTTTATATACACCCTTTTATTTTACTTATTTTACATTTTTATAATTTTATTTTACATCATTTTATAGTTTAGTTTTCTATTGATACCTTTTTATATTATTTTAAATTATGTAGTCTTTCTTTTAGTAACTAAGCATTTTATTTTTTACATTAGCCTACATTTTTGCTTTATTTCTAGTTGAATCTTTTTTTTGCTGCCAAATTGTGTTGTACCATGTGCAATGACAATAAAGAATCTTAAATCTGAATCTTGAATCTAAATTTATTTTAAGTATTTAAGTCATTATGTGTGGTTTGTTGGGGAGTAGAATCAGTGTTATTTTTAAAATAAAATTATTTTTAAAAATGCAATGAAGGACACAGTTTCACATTCTCTATGCATTCATTATCAAGAACAAGCAATTGTGCAATTAGGAGCTTATTTACATTTACAGCATTTAGCAGATGCTCTTATCCAGAGCGACTTACAAGAAGTTCTTTGTCTATCTAGACAAAGTATCTTTGCTAGTTACCAGTAGGTTATAGAGAAAGCCGGTCCTGAGTGCAGTACAATACATTACAATCAATACTTAATTAAGTGCTCATTTAAGTGCTGTATGAAGAGCTGTGTCTTCAGTCTGTGTTTGAAGACCGAGATACTTTACTTTTCAGACAGCCAGTGGGAATTCGTTCCACCCCCTGGGTGCCAGTACAGAGAAAAGTCTTGAGGCTTGTCTTCCACGCATTTCGAAGGATGGCGGGTCAAACCGAGCTGTGTCCGGTGTTGTGGTGTTAAGAGAATCACTCTAGTGGGTCTAGTGCTCCCAAATCCCATGGAAGCTAAAGAACACTGCACTGACCTGCAGGATATGCATATGGAACCTCCTGCATTCAATGTGAATGTGATTTCTACCAGAGTCACTTGTCTGTTTGCCCGGACAATTCTAGCCTGATGCTGTCTTGATATTTAAGCACCCATTGGCAGCCACTATGCTTTCCACTGTGTGTGGTATCACCTTCTAAGATGTATTCTCAGTACACAAAGAATGAAAGAAGGAATGGAAAATGCCCACACAAGTTCAGAAATGGAATTTCCCATCCGTCTGGTGTTCATTCTCACTCACAAGACAACACATCACAACTTAAACAAGTGTGGCATTCCCAGGCCATCTTCTGAGGTAATATCATTTCATAATTTATTGACATATTGCCATCCCATAACTTTTGGCATGTTGGTGCAGATGCATATCTAGACTTATAATGATATATATTGGCTTGAATATATAATAATATATTAGTGTTTCATCTTCATTTATAAAGATTTTTCTAATTTGTTGGTCCATTAATTGTGCTTGGTGGAATCAGACTTCATTTTATGATTTCATATTATGACCATGGCGATGATGATGCCAGACCAAGAAATTCAAATGCTGAATGAAAAACAGCTTGATGATAATTATGACAGTTACATTTGAATGGGTTCCAGTCTTTAAAAAAAGGTTGTGCTACTTTACCTGATGTCTCAGTTTTGGTAAATTTACCCTGTATACAGTTCTGGTCATGTGTCTCTTCTTCCTTTCAAAGTCTTACATGTGCTTTTACATGTTATTCTAAGCTTCATATTCCTAGTTAGATTGTGTGTCTTGTTCTCTAGTATTTTCTAGCTTGTTCTGTTTTGGAGCCTGGTCTGCTTTTGTTAGTTTCTAGCATGGGTATGTTTATGCTATGCCTATCTCCCTGTTCTTGCTTTAGATTTTGACTTAGATTCTTAGATTTGCAGAAATGCACAGAGTACAGACCTGCCTCACACATTACAAATTGCATTATTAAAATAAACATTTCTTTTTAAAATGCAATATAGTTGATTTTGCTATATATTCAAATATACATTTACATCTCTATTTTCGTAATTTACATGATGAATTCAATACATTTATAAAATCTCCCTGCGATATTTTCTGAGTTTTTTTTTTCACAACAAATTGACATAAAGCTGACCTGAGTGCCTTCAGTTTACAGTGTTAACTCTTCAGTTCAGCAGAGAGCAGCTCCACTCCTGAATCCTGCACATCATTATTACTGAGATCCAGCTCTTTCAGGAAAGAGGCTTCTGATTGTAAAACCAATTGCAGAGTCTTACAGGATTGTTTACTGAGTTTACACATAGCAAATTTGTGAGAGAGGAAGAGTAAATGTAACACTCATTATAAATGTATATATAACAGAAAATTACATAAAGGCCTGCAGTAGTGTAATATCTATAATTTGTTCACTCTTTACTTTTGTGCACCCCACCAATCTTAAAGCTAAAGAGTAACAGGTGAGTCCTCTTAACAAAATACATTCCCAAAGGTGTCACTGACATTGTTACACTGCAAAGAGGCACTAACATTCACATACTAGAACTTAGCTACCTTGCAAATTTATTTCTCATGTGTATTTAAAATAGCTAAACAGATATTTTGAGGGTAGTCCACTTGTATAATATGGAGAAGAACTTGTGCAAAATTGATATTCACTATGTAAAGTGTGAAATGCAATGTACATATTGTATTGCTTTTACATAATGACATGCAGAATATGTGCCAAACTGAAAAACAAACCTTCAATTACATAGTTTTCATGTCTTTTGACTTCTTTACTCAAGACAATATATTAGGATTTGTATTTAAAAAAACAAAATGATGAATTTGTGTCAGAACTGAATACATTCCACTGTGAAACTAAATCAAGGCCCAGATATTTTGCTTAAAATCATAAGGTACTTCAAACATATATGCCTCATTAAAAAGCAATAAAAAAGAAAAAGTTAATGCAATGTACACAAGATGATTAAACCAGAGTGATATGCTGAAATTGTGCCAGAATGAAAAGTTAGAATATATTGGATTAATTTAACATCACTCGACTTCTTAACAGAAAAACATGTAGGTTTGCTTTTTAAAAATTAAATGCTGAATTTGTGTCAGAATTGAATACAAATCACCTTGAAATGCAATCAAGTTACAACTGTAACATCACTGTGTGATGCTACCACTCCAATTTTACTAGTTGAGGATGGTGCAGTAACAGGTGACTAGGTCCTAATTTTAAAGTTGAGTGGCTTTTACAGAACATGGGCCAAATCCTTGCAGTCAGCACCAAAGACTTCAGACAGGCTCCAGCAGTCCAGGGCACTTGAAAATACCTGTCCCCATTGGCTGTATACTTTGCTTTATTAACTTTGAATTAACAATACCAAACAGGCTGAAGTTAGCTACTTATTTATTTGCAGATTCAGATTCATTTGGCTTCTAATGTGCTGCATTTTTCACTGGCTGAAGGTAGCTCCTTATTCATGGCTTCTCATTCAGCGAACACCATGAATCTAAAGGGAGTGTTCACGTTTTCATACTTGCCGTGTAGTTTCCATTTAGACAGACTTAGATGAAACTAATAATAATGAAGACATAATAAAAATTTAAGAATGTGTGATATATTTGCCCTACCATTTTGAAAACAAAATAAGAAAAACTTGATTATAAGGTAATAAAATGTTTTGTTGAGCAAAAATATGATGTTCCTATGAAGAAAAAAGTTTTCTAAGTTATAATAGTATTTTCTCAGAAGTATTGGACAATATACCACAACATGCAATAGTGCATAAAATTAAATTAATAAGAAGCTGACAGTATAGAGTGATGTATTCACTTGGAGTGAGACAAATGAGATTCCATACTTAGAACCAACATAAATGCATTTGATGTACCAGAGTGCATGCAGCTACAAGTCACTGAACTTCAAAATAACTGTCAGCTAAAGGCCAGGCACAGCTACATGAACCTGTTCAAGTTCTACAAGCAAAATATAAGTGCTAATGAACTTCTCCATTTGAGGAAGCATGCACTTAAGATGGCATCAATGTTTGGAACCACATAACTTTGTGAACAATTCTTCTCAAAGCAGTCTCTTGCAAAAAAAAACTACTTCCAGAGCAGACTCATTCCAGAACAGACTTCAACCTGGAGAACCAGTTGAGTGTTATATGTAATATGTAAATATAAATCTACCTACCCTTTTTAGGAGCATTCTATTCAGCTATACATTGAGAATAGTTGATGCAGTAGTTTTCTAATCAGATACTAGTCAACTGCAAGTTTGGTAAAGGACCTCAGTTGCGCATTGTAGCTGCTCACATCACAAGAGGTAGGCTATAAAGCTATATTCAAGTGTTTTGAACTCTGAAAACTTAGCAGTAGCTATTGTAAGTGCGATTATTATCAAATGGAAGCGCCTAGGTGCAACAGTAGCTCAGCCACGAAGTGGTAGACCATGCTAACTCTCAGGGACCGGGCCACTGTAAAGCTTTTAAAAATCATGTATCCTCTGTTGCATCACTTACTCCATAGAGAGGTATTCCATATTAATGCCTGTGGTTTTGGGAAGGGATGTCCAACAAGATTATATAGAGATAAAAAAAAATATATATATATATATATATATATTTATACCCATGCCAAAATTTGATTTATAATGATTTTTTTATTTGACTACTATGTTTCTTCTGGCTAGAAATGACATAAAAATGTGATAAAAGACTGTAAGATATTGTGCTATAGATAGGAATAAAAATTAGCTATTTCTATGTTTGTTTTTATATTTCTATGTGCTATGTGCAAA